CACGATCCAGTGATACTTCGCCCAGCCACCATGGACGCGCAGTGGCAGCAATACTACTGGAATCATTATTTGATGCAGCAACATCATCAGCAGCTCACCAACCCAGATACCACAACTTCTCCTCCCACCACCGCACACCACACCTACAGCCCCACAGGCACCTACGGCCCACTCACTCACGCACTTCGCACACACCACGTCCACCACTCCAACCCTTATGTGACTCCACCGTACACACCGCCATCGCAGCACACACCCCCACCCCAGGCACCCACCTCCCAGCCGGAGTTTCCACCTCCGCCGCCGCCACCCCTGCCCACGGCCGAACCTGTCACTCCACCACCATCGACCTTCCAACACAGCCCACCGCCACCACCCACCACACGTGGCACCACAGCGCCTGCCCCACCGCCCCCACACATCCCATCTCCCACACCACCTGTTCCCGACTCCTGGAACCCAACCGAGCAACATTGGGACTCCAACACCCTGCACGGCCACCAACTACATCGTACAATTCAACCCACCCAGTGGTCTCGCAAAGCAGGAGTGGCCGGCCTCCCCACTTTTGAGGTCTTCCCGTGGCAATTGGCTTACCACGGTACCTCCGAGTTCACCGCCGTACCCTGAGCAACGGCAAATTCACAGGTTTCATTGCCACCAGAAGCATAGCGGAGTCGGTCTTCGTGACCCTTTTTCTCCAACAACTCCGCGAGCACCGCCTTGACCTTGACGGCATCGCGGAGGCTCTCCACACACAACAGAGCACAGACGTTCCAAACAAAACTACCCATGCCCGAGCGTTCCACGCTCCCCTCATCAAACTGCTTATCGACCAACTGCAAACCCACTCCCCAGCACCTGCGGAAGGCTCCGCCCTACGCGCCCTCAAAAACACCAACGACGAACTGGCTCGAGCACGTCAGAAACTCCACGACCTCGGCAACCCGCTCACACCAGTCAAAAACACCGGCCGATCTTCTGCACCAGCCGCCCCTTCCCACGCACCCACACCACCACCACCGAAACCACCAGCCATCACCGACGTTTTGCAACCACCACACCCCACCCTGCAAGACGACATCCCCGAAGGCTGGAACTACCCAGATATCCAACAATGGGTCACTACCTTTGACCCCGCCATCCAAGAAGCTGCGAAGGAAGTCATCCGACTGCTGCAAACAAGCAAAGTCACCACGCAGCAGCTAAAAGAAGCAGCCACCAAGTATGGCCTACCCCTCAACCGAGTCAACCGACTCCCCATTCGCAGCCTACAACAGCTGGTGGGAGTCGGAGCAGCCATTGGTTGCTGACTCGCCATCGTGGCTCAGCAGCAACCCAGCCACACCAACCTCACCCAACTCTTCCACCTGCACCGCGCACTTTCCATGCTCATCCACCGCACCCAATACATCGACCGCGCCGAGGCCATCTTTACAACCGGCCTCATCCACATCACACTTCTTTTCGCATACCCGTCCAACACCCGTCGCTCGCAACAATGGCGCAACCGCCTCCGCCAGCTCCACATTGTACCCCACACCTACCACTACCACAACTTCCTCTCTTCCAATTCCGTCTACATCAAACTCTACTTCAATCCCGACCAACCCCAACGCTGCTACCATCAACATGGCCACTTTTACGTTGGCTCCACAGCTATCGGCATCCCCCACCGCGAGCACAATCGCCGCGCCAAACTCAAACAACTCCAGAACAACATTCCCATTTCTGCAGAACTCTCCCTACGTTACTGGCACTCACACAACAACATCCACCACTACACCACTATTCAACTCACCTCCCATGACACATACGACCAAGCCTGGATCCAAGAGCACCACTACATCGCCAACTGGATGCCTTCACTCAACTGGCCTTTCATTTCCCACCACCTCAAACTCAAAGCTCAGGGATGGCAGTTTGCGAAACACAGAGCCCACTTCTACTCCAGACTAGCCACCCACAAACGACTTTTCCGACGCCTTCGACAACGCCAGTACACCCTCAGAGAACCACACCTCTACACTTCCACTAAGCATCACGCCCTTCAACTTCTTCGCAACCTTACCAAACACACCGCAGCCTCCTTTGAGGCAGCAAAACAGATAAGAAGCGGCCGCCACACGGACCTCGAGGTGTATGCAATCCGGCGTATGGCCGCAAATTTGGAAGAACCTGGCCGCAGCCGAGCTCTTCACATCCTCAACAAAGCCCTTCTCTACCGCAACCTCACGCCACCAAAGCCAAACATCCCATTGACAGTGCCCTTCTTGGCCCACGACGACTTTACCAAGCACTGCCAACAATGGCTTCGTACCACCATCCAGCAGCACAAGCATTTCACCATTCCCCTCCACCTCCCCTCCCACAGACTGAGGGAAGCCGCCCACAAAACCCTCCGCTCCCACCTGCACAACCACCGCACATGGGAGGACACCCTCCACTCCCCCCCAGATCCAGCAGACCTTCCCTGTGCATGCGACCACCTTCGCACCCTCCTGCAGGATCCCGATACCCCTACCATCAATGGCCACTACATCCTTACACTTGACCAACTCCAACTCCCTACACACCTCAGCATTTTCCTCAACGCCAATATGAACAGCACCTATTACCCAAGCAAAGCTCGGTACTTCCTCATTTTCACGACGGCCTATACCAAATGGCTCAAACTACAGGGGCTTCCACCATCCCTGGTTCAACACCTACAGCCATTCCTTGAGCACCAATGGCGCCTTCACAACACACACCTCAAGCAGCAACCCCGTTTTACGGCCCGCCTGCTTCGTCAACTCCAAGAACATTTGGGCAAACACACATTACTCCACCATGCCGACCATGAGCTCCAACAACTCCGGCTGTTTTGCCCTCGCCAATATTTCACTGGCGCCTTGAACACCTGGCAATCCCCCGAACTTTTCGAACCACTTCCCTACATCACTGCCGCCAATATCCACGATCACCTGGCCGCCACTGTCCCCCCCATTTTGCGCACTCGCTACAAGTGGGGCTTCCGAAAAGACTTCAACATTCCATACGGCGTTGTCCACCTCAAGGAGAAGAAGCACTGGCAAAAAGGCCGTACAATTATTTCATACTTCCAATCACTCAGTGGCAACTTGCTTCGCATCACCAGCCGTGCCCTTGACATCATCCTCCAACACCTCTACCCTCAACATCCCGGCCAAATGTCCATTCCCCAGCTTTGGCACCACTTTCACAGCTACCTCACCCAAACACCACCAGACATCTCACTACACGCCACCAACGATGACCTGGTCGGCTTTTTTCAACTCAGTCCCACAGCACCGACTCATCGATGCAGTTCACTCCCTCGTCCACCACTGGCAACAACAGCAACCCACACACACCTTGACGGTGGATGTCCAGGCCACCGGCAATCCTTTCCACCACTCACACATTGGCAGACACCATCGGAAACACCCCACCCAACGTACCATCCAAACTTCCGACATTACCACCATCGTGGCTTTTGCCCTCAACACATGCATTTTCCGGGCTTGCAACAATACTTACAAACAAATCCGAGGGGCCGGGATTGGATCCCAGCTCTCTCCAGCCCTATGCAATGTTGCCATCACCCTCATTGAGCACTCCTGGCATCAGATCCACAACAACCTCCTTCAACACACAGACCTCCACTTTACTTACTATCGATATGTCGACAACCGCTTCATTGTCCACAACGAACATTTCCTTCAACACCCGGCTATCCAAACCCTCATCCACCACAATTTCTTTGGCGACCCAGTTGAACTCGAACCGGTGGAGGATTTTCATCTCCTCGGTTTCAACATCGACCTCCCACAACGCACCATCACCTACATGCAACCTTCCCAACCCTGGAAAATCCGGGATTCCACAACCGCCGGGAGCCAGCGCTTGGCTCTATCAGGCCTCCAATCAAGACTCCACACTATTCGAAAATACACATTCCCACCCTCCAGCGCTGACGTTGCTGCGGCTGAACTCGTCAACCTATATGTCCAAAAGGGGCATAACTACCACGCCTGCCACCGGTTTTTGAAAAAAGCGCCGAATGCGGCGATCTGTGTGTGTCCCACCCTGGACAAAGGGTCTTACCTCACCACTTTTCCACAGGCAGGGGGGCAGTGGACCACTATCACTCACTGCCCAACGAAGACAGTGATAGATCGGTCGTGAAGCAATGCGGGACGCCGCATTGTGTACCTGCTGAGTTTTTCCACAAGCTGTCACCCTACTTTTCCACGATTTGATTCATGGTGGTTCCACATGATACTTTCCCCACAAACAGGTTTCCCACTGCACTGCAGCTGCTGACCGCCACCTCCAGTTGCGCTTGTCGTGAAACCTGTGTTAAACAATACACTTTAAGCTGACCTTTCCACCTTGCCGTTCCATCGCCTTCTTTCCCATTGAGACGATTGCGTTAACTGAAAATCCAAGTTCGAAGTGTGTTTGTGTGTCAGCTTTGGAGTCAGAAACGTTTTTAGATCTCGTTAGACTTTTGGAGCCGGGGTCAGCAGGGAGCCCAGTGGTTGGGTGGCTCAAAAATTGGGCGTTAAACCCGCTGTTTGTCAGAAGTTGCTGGGTCCTTATTTTTGCCACACAAATGCCACACAATAAGAAGTTAAGGAAGTCAGTCGGTCATGGTCCAATCATGCGCCAAAGCCTTGCGCCCAAAATGTTCATCATTTCTGCAACTTCGCCTCAAAGCTGAAAGGCTCAGCCGTCGGGAACAGAGAATCCCCCAAGGTCAGCGGTACCGTCGGGAAACGTGATGCAGCCCACAGGTTTCATGAACATTACGCGGTTCTGTCTATTTGGGCCTTGAAAGAAACATGTACATTTGACAAACGGCGTGCTCTTTAGACCCTCGATCACCTGAGTCCTTTTGGTTTGGTATATTTTTGTGACTGGTCGCCTAAGGACCGGGCAGCGCCAAGACATGCCCGTTCGAACGTGGGCGATTTCCCTCGCACCGATGCGGCGAGGCCATCGATCCTCTCCGGTGCCCTCGGGTGTGGTGACCACTCAGGTGCGGGACGGGCACCGCTTGAGCACCAAGCATCGCACCAACCATGCCCGGTCGAAGCGTGTACGCGAAGAAAACGATGGGAGCGGACCATCCGAGCGATGAGTGTTTTTTAAGAGAGGATCTGTTTGGGACTGCCGATCAGGCCACAATTTGGTTGAACATGGGGTTAAAGGCGTGACAAAAATACACGCATACATGGAGTGTTTGGGCTCTAAAACAAAGTCCTTGTACCCATGATTCTCGGGTACGAATTGGCTGGCTCCAGGCATCACAGACTCGAACAGGGCAGAAACTATAACTTGAGAGCCAGCATAGGAAGTGGGAAGGCACTTGCTCCTGTGGACCTGGTTCTGCTATTGTTCAACTTCCGTAAGCATCCGTAAGCTAGAAACGCTAGAAGAAACTCGGACATGCCAATGGCCTGCGTCTTTGATCCGTTTTTTTTCGAGGGAACCTAGGAGGACCGCATTTCATCAACTTCCACTATTCAACACCATAATCATCCATAGTCCGTTTTGAAAGAACCTGCACGGCCTGCCAGGTCATTATGCTGTTTAAAGGTGATTCCAGTGATTGTCCGGGGCTGTTCATTCAGTTTGTATAGAGTTTGGGGTCTTTCGTAGCTCGGTGAGTTTGGTCTCCCCTTTTTGGACATCTCTGGCTCTGACCGCTTGAGCCGATACGGAACCCAAGGCCCTGGCGCTTGGTCCAAAAAGAATAGAATCCAATGGAGGCCTTCGGTGATGGTTCTGCGAGGTTCTGGCAGCTCGCCAACTGCACCCGCCAGTCTTCCCCAAAGGCCACCCTCTCTCGAATCGGAAAGACACGAATCGGGCGTGTACTAAAAGAGAGATCCCAGTTTGACCCCTGCGAAGGTTTAGAAGATCGACGGTCACTGGAGGCCAGTACCCAATTCGTTAGGGGGGGTCTCCCTATTCAAAGAGCACCCACCGCATCCCACGTGTTTCTCGCTCAAAAAAAACACTCCACCCGGACCTGTCGGTGATCCCTCTGGACTGGCCCACAGTGGCCGCGACAGGAATGCAAACAGACAGACAGACAGACAGACAGAATGTCAATTTGCCAGATAGAATGCCAGAATTTGCCAAATGGAATGTCAGAATATATGCCAGAAAGAACGCCAGAATGTATGTCAGATCTATGCCAGAAATAGAATGTCAGAATATATGCCACATAGAATGCCAGGGATGTATGTCAGAGAATGCCGTTAGATGCCAGATAGAATGCCGGCAGATATGCCAGATAGAATGCCAGATAGCAATACAAAGGGCCACTACATGACAGATTGAAAGCGAGCGTATATGCCAGATAGATTGCTATACAGAATGCCAGAAGGAATGTGATTGAAAAATATTTACAGAAGCCAGAATGTATCCAGATACAATGCCAGAATGATAGAATGCCAGTGTATATGCCAGATACAATGCCACAATATATGCCAGATAGGTAGGATGCCCAAGCATTTGCCAGATAGAGTGTCAGAATATATGTATTCCAGAAAGTATACACATTTATGCGCAAGATACACCTGCATTGATGGCAGAACACATGTCACAACACATGCCAGAGCACATACCAGGACTGAAGTCGGACCATATGTCACGTCTCCAATTCCAAGACAGACAAAGGGGCACGAACTGCAGCTGCCACAACTTCAAAGCCAGCACATGTCAGACTTCATGGCCGCAACAATGTCAGAGCACATGCCAACAAGGACGTCAGAACACCGTCCAGAACATTTCCCAGCCTCAATTTATAGATTGTGTCAATACGCATGTCCGCTGAATATCCGCCTTGGTCAGGCTAATCTGTCACATGTGCGCTGCCTTCCAAATCGCCTCAGGGTGGGGAGCTCTCGAAGTAAAGGTTTGGTACGTGGCACCGACCTTTTCTTCCCAAGTGCGGACCATCAAGCTGGGTTTTGGTCACCGTCGCCTGGGCGCGGCTGCCCCTGTCATGCCAGTTCATTCCGCAAAGCTGTACGGTACCTCCATCGGCCCGGGGCCGCGGCCGGCGCGCTGGAGCGAGCCGCGGCCTTCTTTTTACGCTGCGCTGTTGAAAAGATGTTTCGGGAGTGTATTGATACGATGCTTCGGTTGGTCAGCCCTTTCAAAAAGAAATATTATTCGAGTACAGGGTGCCTTTGGAGAAGAAACCGATAAAGCCTGCGCCGCGTTGAAAGAAACCCAGTCACCCTGCAATTAGACTTTTTGATTCGATAATCAGTCAGCATATCAGTGCGATGCGAAATCAATTCTGACAACCCATGTTTGATCTTGTTTTTGCTCACCTGTGACAGCTCTTTTCGTGCTCTTTTGACAGGAGTACTTATATTGTGAAATGTTGCCGCCAACTTGACGTTTGTGTGGAGAGTGTTTTTGACGGATCTGACTGATCGATGATCGTCTCGACTTCATTTGCTCAAGCCTTCCTTGTGCCTCGTGGATGGAACGCGCCATCCTCCCAGTGGCCATAGGTGCTTCGTTTGGTGGACTGGCGTGGTGGAGGGCTCTTTTGCTTCACGCTGGCCGTGACGCCGCATCGAGGGCTTTGGTGGAGGTTCTTGGCAATTACATAGCTAGTCTGGGGGCCGAGGGTTTCTTGGATAGCCGTGGACTAGAGATCATTTGGCAGTTGGGCGGTGTTTTGATTTGCATCTATTACTGGTCGGAGGTCACTGAATTGGGTCGGGTCACATTGCGTTTTCTGACTGGAGTGTTGAGCATCTGCAGTTTTTTGGTGAGCGCCATTTACAAGTGGTTGGTCACCTTCACGGCTGAAGACAACACTTTGGAAGTAGAATTGCTACTGCCTGAGCCGGCACCAGAGCAGGAAGTGGTCTTAACCTGGTGCGGAATGGCCGCATTGGTGCCTGGACCCCCAGTTCCAGCAGGTTCCTTTGTGCTGGTGTCACGCCCGCCTGAGTGGGACGAAGTGAACATAGCTGCATACTCAGAGAATCACAGCTCAGCATTATGTCGGACCACCAGTTCGGATGGTACTGCATGGGTGTGGGTGATGGTGCAAATAGCTGGTTTACACATGCGCATGCCCCATGTAGCAGTGAATGGCGATCGCCAAGCTCCCGGTGGACTGGCGGATGTGGACATCAACTGGGTATGCATACCTCCTGCTGGAATCGCCCAGTGGAAGCCCACCCCGGCAGAGCTGGCCAATGTCATAGCAGAGGGCAACTTGGTGATGTCTCAATACAATCCCACCACCACCACATGGCCTGTGAATGTCCCAGGAGTGGCAGGACCCCTCCAAGAGGTGACCATGGCAGCGGTGGGGCCTGTTGGTCCCGTGGGAGGAGGAGGCGTGGCTTTGGGCGCGGCGCCGCCCGCGGCAGCAGGGCTGTGTGTAGGAGGAGCTGGCGGTGGGACAGGGGAGCCAGACATGCGGGCGCTCGAGGCGGCCGTGCATCAACTCCAGGCGATGGCATTGTCTCCGGGTCGTTCTTCTCGGGGCTCGAAGGGGTCCAAGAAGGACAAGAAGAAGGACAAGAAGAAGGACTCCAAAAGGCGCAAGAAGAAGAAGAAGCGCTCAGACAGCAGTTCCTCCAGCAGCAGCAGCAGCAGCTCCAGCCGGTCAAAGTCCCGTTCCCGCAGTTCGTCAAGCGGCAAGAAGTCGAAGCCCTTGAGGTGGAGGGCTCATGGCAAGGACCGAGCCGTCAGTTTGAGCAACCTGACACACATAGACGGTCTCAAGTTCAAGCGCAAGGGCGACCTGGTGAGTTTCGCAAGTCGGCATCCGGGGGCACTGACAGCTCATTTTCTGTCTGGTGTCTATCAGCGCCTGAGCAAAGGCACCCTATCGAGAAGCAGTCAGATGAGGGACGTTTCAGTAACTGCATGGGCCCATCAGTTCTCAGGACTGTCAGAACCTCGCGATCTCAAGGAGGTCATCACTCTGGCGGAAGTACTGGATGCAGTGAATCGCAAGGAGATCGCCCAGGCCTTGGACATCATCAGCCAACGCATTCTGGCCATCCAGCAGGCCCGGCAGAAGGGGGGCTCGTGGGAAAAGTCGGAGGCGATCGAATTGGTGGACACTCGGAAGACCTTGGCCAGCACTTCGATGCTGGCGTTGACGAACAGTTAGCAGAAAGGCTTAGACGCTCGTGGTACAGGCTGGGTGGCAGATGTGATGCTAGCATAGGCTTCAATCGGTTTTTTGCTACAATGGCTCAAGCGGTGATGGAGTCTTTGGGCAGGAACTTCATAGAGAATGACTTTGCAGGAAGCATCTGTCAGAATCTGGCCTGGCTACGAGCTGCGAGGTGCAAGGATGAATTCAAACGGAGTGGCTCTGGCGTGAATTCACATGCTTTTGGCAAATCTCCCCCTCACGTGTTTCCTTTGCCCCCAGTTGGTTTGAAGCGGGATGCTCTTTCTGGCTCAGCCTCTTGGGATGACAGGGCTAGCTTTTGGGGTGGAAATGTCATGGTGGCTGCTCTAAATTGGTTGCATGGAGGGCAGCAGGCTTTCACGACGATGGTGCCTACTGCCGCTCATGGACGGGTGCATTCTAGGTTGGAGGGCGCCCTGAGGGCTCTCGTGATGAATGACGAGCCTACTTTGGGTCCGGAGAGGCTGGATTCTTTTTTGAGGCAGACTCAGCATTACACTGGGACCGGTGTGGTGCTGGCGCTTGGGGCACGAGGTGGTGTGCCGGACAAAGCAGCTGACGTTGCGCTGGCTGATGAACTGGCGCCCCATTTTCCAGACTTGGCAAGGCAGGTTACATCTCCATCGTGCCTGCTATTGCCGGCAAAGAAGAGGCCCAGGAAGGTGCGAAAGGGCTACACCTGGGTGTCCTCTACGTACCCCGAGTTAGTGCGCAAGAATGTCAAGGCGGGTCTCCAGAAACTCAAACAGGAACACCAGGTGGCGAAGCATGGTGGTCGTTTGTTGTTGGCTGGAGCATTCGCTGTAGTCAAAGACGACAAGGAAGATAGAGTCATTACAGATCCGTCGGTGAACCAGCTTCTGAATGAGGATAGTTTGCCAAGACCTAGGTTTGCATACATACCATCGCTTCGTTCGGTCACGGTGCCTTCCTCGGGAGTTATCAAGATCACCAAGAGGGACGCACGGCATTATTTCCATCGGCTTCGAATAGGCAGACGCTGGGGGCGCTGGTTGTGCTCTCCGCCAATTTCGCTGCCATCTCAGTCGGGGCCTCGGAATCGGAAGTGGTATCCGGCGGCGCAGGCCACCCCAATGGGTTTTGGACCGTCAGCGGGGTGGGCTCAGGCCTTGACGGACGCTGTAGCCATAGAAGCTGGTCTCCCTCAAGAACACCGTCTTCATCCTGATTTCACTGTTCCTGAAGAGCTTCCAATTTGGGGTTCCATTATCGACGACATTTGGGCCATCGAACACGGCGATGAAGCCGCTGCTTCAGGTGTTGGCGTGGATTGGATGAACCGCGCAGAGGAGGCCTGGACGGTGAAAGGGGTTGAACCTAACCACAAAAAGTCGGTCAATGAAGCTTTGGGTGAGGAAATTCAGGGTTATTTTGTGCATCCAAGGGATCACTGGATCGGAGTTTCGCTTGAGAAACGTAGACATCTCTATCAGGCCACCATGTGCACCCTGATGCGCAAGAAGGTTTTGGTAGGGGTTGTCGACCGCCTGATCGGGAAGCACAGCTTCATCCACTCATGCAGACCGGCGATGAGGTCCATATTCGAGGCCACCTACGCCTGGATAACTACAGTGAGGGGTCGTAGGCGAGAACTGGTGGTCTTACCAAGTGCTGTATGGGTTGAGCTTTGTATATCTGCTTCCTTGCTTCCATTAGCACACTTCAGTTTGTCGAGCAAGTGGAGTCAGAGGGTGGAATGCACAGATGCCTCAATGACAGGCCTTGGCCGTGCCTATGGATGGGCACCAACTACGGTGGTTCAGACCTTGGCTAGATACAGTGAGCATCGCAACATATACACAAACCTCAAACTACCATGGAGTGTGGGCCTCACAAAGTCACATGCATGTCCTCTTCGTCGGGTTCGGGTCCCTATCGAGAAGATCAAATGGCACTACATCTCCTCCCCCCTGGCAATGTCTGCATATCACGTTGGGTGAGGCTGATGCCATCACTTGGGCGGCAGAAGATCGCTTGAGGAGGTTGGGAGATGATGGAGCCAGGTTTGTTCACCCGGTGGATTCTGCCGCATGCGCTGGTAGCTTTAGCAAGGGTAGGTCTAGTTCAAGGCAGCTGAACAAACGATGCAGGACTGTGTGTGCCATCAACCTCGCAGGGGGGCATGAGGTGTGGTACCCATGGATGCCTAGTGAAGAGAACCCTGCAGATGGACCATCAAGAGAGTTTGAGCCCTCCGGCAAGACGTCGCCGGGCCAGGTGGAGCAGCCGCCCACTGAGCGGCCGGATGTTGATTTGCGGGAGGTTGGTTTGTGGCCACGTGATGTTGTGTTCTTCCTTCATCTTTGTTCCGGACCTAGGCGTGAAGGCGACCTTTTGGATGCTGTTGCACGATTGGGGGCAGAGCATGGTATCGATATACAATGTGTGGCCATAGACCCACTTGCTGATATTTCTATAGTACAGGAAGTTAGGGGCGTGCGCAAGCCCTCTTGTGCGCACCCTTCATTACTTCATCCACCAGGGCTTCATGGAGACCTTTTGAGCGGGGTATGGGGTGATTGGATCCTCAAACTCATTGCAAGCGAACGGGTGGCTGGGTCCTTTGCTTCCCCCCCCTTGTTGCACAGTATCTGCAGCTAGGCACCAACCCCTGAAGCCTGACAAACTGAATAGCGAAACACTTGGGCGTCAAGGGCCCAGGCCCCTGCGCTCGCGAGCCGAGCCCTGGATTCCTTTGGACTATTGTAATCCTCGCGAACGGCATGCGGTGCATATAGGGTCAGCATTGTTTCTTATTTGTTTGGGGCTTCTCGGCGAAGTGGCGCGGCGTGGCGGATGGGCTGGGCTTGAACATCAGCCGACCGAGGAAAAGAACCCTTTCCATCTTTCTTTGCAACTGAGGAGGTCAAGGTTTTTTGCCGAGCATTTGGGTTGAGCTATATAGAGGTAGCGCAGTGTATGTTCGGGGCTCCTTCGAAAAAACCTACTGGGCTGCTGGTACCATCGGATGCTAGGAGGTTGGCATGTCGTTGCACACATAGTCACAGGCATGAGCTGCTGCTGGGCTTGGATTGGCGTGGACATTTCAAGACCACCCCCGCAGCACGCTACCCACCAGCACTGTGCACAGCTTTAGCCGAGGTTTTCGTTGAGCGCCTTAGTATTGCTAGGGCGCACCACTATTTCAAACCTTATGCACCCAGAAAGCCCACCAATATCACGTTGAGTCCGTGGGGTGGTCGCATGCATGGCTCTTGGTCATGGCCTCAGCCGAGTGCAAACTTTCTTATTGAGCTCCTTGAAAGAATCCACGGTCACCAGATACACTTTGGCATTGGAAAAGCTCAACAATGAGCTAGAGGAGCAAGGCTGCACTTGGTCTAGCATGAGTGAAGAAGACCAAGATATGTTCCTAGCTGAGTGGATTATTGATGGCTACGAGGCCGGCGCGGTCAAAGCTGAGTTCGGGTGGGCGCTGTCGGCAGTGCAAAAGCTCTACCCCAGGTTGAGGCTGAAAGTGGCATGGAAGGTCTTTGATGTCTGGGGCCAGAAGGTTCCGTTGCGACAAGCTCCGGCTGCCCCACCAGAGTTTCTTCATGCTATGATGGCGGTGGCGATGATGCTTAACCGTCCCCACCTTTCCCTGATGATGGTCCTCTGTTACGCTGGGCTCCTCAGAGTCCGTGAAAGCCTGCAACTCTGTTACAAAGACTTGGTGGTGGGCCCCACGGAACTGGTTTTGTGCCTAGGGGTCACCAAACGAGGAACCGAGCAGAAGGTCGTCTTGCGCAACAATTCCGTTTTGCTGTTTGTGCGTCATTTTCTTTTGCATCATCCTGGACAACCCTGGGAGCTTTTGATCCCCCTGAGCTATAGTGCTTGTTTACGTTGGGTCAAGCGCCTCTCCTTTCTCCTGGGCGGTGAAACTTTGACTGTGACCACACACACATTTCGAAGATCGGGAGCCTCAGAACTGTCCCGACAAGGGCTTCCGTTGCAAGACATTTTGTTATACGGCCGTTGGCAAAGTGAACGGTCCGCCCGTGAATACATCCGGCAGGGTGAGGTCGCGGTCTATAGAGCACGACAACTCATCACAGCGGAGCTGGCTGGACGAATTACTAGGTGGGCCAGCTTGATGCCAACCGTTTGGGTTCTTTTTAAGCAAGTCTATCATGCAGACACAGATCCTCCTAAGGTGGATCGGGTGACACAGCAGGTTTTCGAGGCTTTTGAGAAGGCTTTGTTTGTAAAGACTTTCCAGTGAGTAGGGAAGGTGGGAGGCAGGCCTAGCGCGCCACAGCTTTTAACCTCTGATGCTTGA